GTGAAAGAGTCTTCATCACCTATTTCGATTTGCACTTGTGCAGCACCCGGCTTTTCTATCCAGGACTGGACTCACACACTACTGAGATACGAGGAAAGAAAGGGAAAAAGACAGACAGAAAATACTGTCACTGCTATCTGCCTTGAGCCAAATCCTGGAGCTACTAGGGAGTTTTTCTTAATTAAGCACTGTTTTCTTGTCAGCTCTGAGAGCCTCAGAAAGAAAATTCTGTTCAAGTTACACGAGCCGATTCATAAGACCTGCTACTGACCAAATATGTAAAGTACTGTACGAAATTCCAGACTCGGGATGATAACTGCCTGCAGCCACGGTCATCACGTTTCCTTCAGTGAGTGAATCTTTACTGGGAACATTGAGCGAGGGAACACATTGTGCTTCTCAGCCGCAAGACACAACGGTATTTCGCACGACAAGTCAGTCCCCTTACCACTGCGCCCTGGGACGGGACGCTGGAGCAAAATCGCGACGAGCCCTGGCATCAGAGAATCACAACCAAAATCTAACTTGGCATCTGCCTCGTCCCGTGCTCCGGCCGCTAACCCGACAGTCTACGATGCAGAAATGAATGGGACGACTCAAACTGGTATCTGGTGCCTGCATGTTAATCCTGTCCCTTAATAAACTGCCTTTATTAGTTTAACAACCTCAAAATAACTGGCTGCGTGATACTGACCAACCCTAATCAAAACATCTGCAAGCCCATCTAGCCCGAGCTCCCCTTTAGATCATGTGCCACCACTTCAAAGCCTGTGCATCAAGTCAGTAATTGTAACACTGCATCTAAATATTTAAGCTAGGGGCTGGTAGTCGCGTGTCCCATTTACAGTCAGCATCTGTCCTCTAATTCCATTACAGTACAAAGCAAAAATGTTTCCCAAAACTTGCAAACAGGAAAAGCATCACACAGCTAGAGAAGCAGCAGCAGCTTGAACTTTCTAGCTGCTGAGCAGGGCTTTTGGCTAAGGTCTGCCCCCCCCCCCCCCCTTCAAACTCCCCACATACACACACAAAAATAGGGGTGGTGCCGAAATTGTATTAATGTGAGCCTCAGGCACACAGAGAAAAAGAAAAGAGGAAGGGGAGGGAGAGGGGGGAAGGGTTTGGTCCAAGATGAAAGTAAGAAGGAAATAAAGGAGGCAATTTAGTCTGCTGTAGCCTGAATTGCTCTCAGTACAGCCAAGGGTAGAGGCTTGGGATGAGTAGAGCCCTTTTTGGACGGGTGCGCATGACTGGGATCCGCCAGGCAAGGAAAGGGCCCGGGGGCCA